AAAAAAAAAAAAAAAAAATACAAAAATATATAGCTTTAAGAGGGTTAGGCTTACCCTAAAATTAAGGAACGCTCGACCTCGACACGTGATATCGAAATGGGCGAAATCGCCTCTTGATATCACTAACTCTCCTGACTCCTGACTAATCTGGAGGCAATAAAAGTTCATGCTTGTTTTCAGGGCTGTTTCTTTGGATAAGTTAATTTCAGTGTCTGTTTAAGTTTCATTTACTTTTACTTTCACTTTTACTTTTTACTTTTTTTACTTTCATATACTGTGCTTTCTGCTTAATCTGAAAATATTTGAAATAGAGAATTTCATGTTTATTGTATGAGTGGCTTCTTACTGTACTTGCATTGGCATAATTTTAATGAGGACCTATACTTTTAACTATGCCTCTTTAGAATCATTGGTGAAAAGATTTGCCCTAAGCTGAGACCAATCACTTTTCAGGTCAGCATGCAGAACACATTGCACCTCACATATGGATGACAGCACTACCACAACTGGTTTCCCGCATCTGTCACTCTCACCCGGCTGTCTTCGGCCAACTGAAGGCTCTGATCTCACGTCTTCTCCTCGACTACCCTCAGCAGACCATGTGGATGATGCTGGCTGTCTCCAAGTCCTCCTATGCAGTGAGGGCAAGACGCTGCGAGGAGATCTTTAACTCTGTTACTTCCCCTAGTGCAAAAAAGTTCCTCAGAGATTCCCTCTGCCTTGCCGATCGTCTTATCGAGCTTGCCAACAAGCAACCAGAATCGGTACCTTGAGACATCCTGGTATCTCTTGTCCAATTTGTATTTATGTTCAATGTGAAGGCTTGGAATATACCAGGGAACAGGAGGAGGGAAGATGAGCATGCAACAAACATTCGGCCCATTGGTGCGGCTCGTGAATGACCCAGAGTTCAGTCGCATCATGATCCCTTTCCAGCTCCATATGACTGTTAATCTCCCCAGTGAAAAGGGTACTTCAGGACCCTTGCCCTCCACCACCCAGAACCCATTCCGTTTGTCAGTCTCCCTCTATCTATTTCCTCCTCTCTCATGCCTATCCAGTTCTAACAGATAGTACCTAATCATACTGTGGTGGATGTATTTCTTGAAGAGAACCAGTGTGGATTGGAGGTTTTGAGGACTTGGTTGAAGTCATCACATCACTTCAGAAACCAAAGAAGATCACCATTCAGGGATCAGATGGGAAAAAGTACTCCCTCATTTGCAAACCCAAGGTGATGGCTTCATCCTCCAAGTCTGGAAAAATATTAATTATGGGGATATCAACAAATCCTTTTAACTGACTGTGATGTAGGACGATTTGCGGAAAGACTGTCGACTGATGGAGTTCAACGGGCTGGTGAATCGTAGCCTTCTCCGGGATGTGGAGGCTCGCAAGCGCGGACTCAACATTCGAACTTACGTGCGTCTCTTCCTTTGTTTTCTCTGAATAGAGAAGATAGAATGCTGTGCTATATCCCCGCATGATATCTTGCAGGCTGTGGTGCCCCTGAATGAAGAATGTGGAATCATTGAATGGGTGCCAAATCTTGTTGGATTCCGTCCCATCCTGCTCAAAATTTACCGTGAGGATGGCATGATCACCACAAGTATGACCAGATGTTTCTCTCCAGTTCCTCCATACAGGTTTTATCTGTGTTTTGAGACATAATGTGGTGCTTGCCAGGCACTGAGCTGAAGCAGATGATGGTGGGATTGAAGGAGAAGTTGGAGGTGAAGCGAGATGCTTTCATCAACAAATTCCTCCCCCGTCACCCTCCGGTTTTTTCCCGTTGGTTTCATCGAACCTTCCCCGACCCTCAGGCTTGGTGAGATGATGCCATCTTTCAATTTCCAATTGGGGTAGTTCCAGTGATTCACAAAGCGAGTGATGCAGGTACGAAGCCCGAATCTCGTACATTCGTACGACGGCGGTCATGTCCATGATCGGCTATATTCTTGGACTCGGCGATCGTCACGGGGAGAATATAAATTTTGATGCCGGGACTGGAGATACCGTCCACGTGGACTTCAACTGTCTCTTCAACAAGGTATCCTTTAAATGTTTTTTTTTTTTCTTGAAGCCTGCACTATCAGTACTCCCTTTCTTGATCATGTGATGATCTTCTTGTCATGAAATTTGATCAGGGTGAAACGTTCGACTGGCCCGAGAGAGTGCCATTCCGCTTGACCCACAACATGTTGGATGCGATGGGACCCCTCGGTGTGGAAGGGACATTTCGCAAAGCCTGCGAAGTCACATTGAGGGTCGTACGGAGCCATAAAGACGCTTTCGTCTCTGTCCTTCGCTCCTTCGTCTACGATCCTTTGGTGGAATGGAGCAAACCCTCTAGAGGAGCGGCAAGGAACCAAGCCACGACCGGGGAGGTATCCAACGAGAAGGTCGGTTTTCCGTCTGTTGGATCTGGTTTTGAATTGCAGATGGATTCTGACAGCTAGTGGATGTTTCAGGCACTCGTGCACCTGAGAGACATAGAACGGCGGATCGACGGCGCGGTGAGAAAGTACGGGAAAGCGACGGGGCTTCCGTTAGCCGTCGAAGGTCAAGTGGAATACCTGATTCAGGAAGCGACGAATGTGGAGAATCTGGCCCAGATGTACATCGGCTGGGCCGCCTACATGTGATTCAGAGAGGAGGGAACGTTGCTGATCTCTTCCCTGTTGTAAAACTTACTTACTTTGTTCTTAATAAAAAAAATAAGGATGATCCCTGTGCAATACCTCACTTGTCTTTGAATACCAAATGATCACGATCCAAGTGTTTGTAAGAGACCTGTGCGATCTTTTACGAGACGCAAGGTTTTCCGAATGGCTACTCGAGAGATGCACTTCTCGTTGAAGAACCTTCACCGTTGGGGTTTTAAACGTGCCACATCTAGAGACAGGGTGCGTCGTCCCAAGCTGCGCCACGGTATGGGATGGGCCGGTTTCCAAACTGCCTCTAATAATCCAAGCTCGCTTCCAACTGAGCCGACTCCCGTGATTCGCTTCTGAAGGCGTGCTCAGGATGATGAGTAAATGAGCGAAGTAAACCAGCAAGCCATTTCTCACCCTCGTAGGTAATGAAGAAGGTAGAATGGGACGGATGCCGGTTTACCCTGACTTTTGGCTCTCCCCCTACCTGTCTCGTGAGTGGGAACGAATATATTCCAGGTTCTGCCCCCCCTCCTCATAGGCAGGAAACTCCGTGCCGTGCCTATGCGGGATACATATCATGCTGCTTTCACCTTCAGAATGAAACGAGAAAAAATAGTTCGGAGTGTACTTATGAGGATATAGGTTACTATATAAAATAAAAGTCGTGAACGTTAATCGCGAGCTGCATAAGCACTGTATACATTGACTGACGGATTGGGGTTAGGGATGTGAAGAGGTGTTTCTGCCCGAAAAGAAGCCGGGCAAGCCTGGTCCGATAGTGGGCATCCTTTCGATGACTTGGGAATAGAAGGATGTAACTAACAGGTTGGTTGGAGGAGAGTATGAACGTGCGGCCCTCCCAGATATGGCATTGCACGAGTTGAGCTAGCAACCCCACCTGTCACTCCGACCGTGAAGAATGGATCCACCAGCCAGAAAGTCAAGTAGCTCGGTCGAAGACGACACCCCGATCCAGGTTGAGCGTTGCGCAGTGCTTTAATAATCCAAGGAAACTCACGCCTTTCCAGCTGTGAGCCTATTCCAAATTTACTCTAGAAATGTTTTTGGCACGAGTTTATCCAGAAACCATCTTACCCCGTATCTTGTTCATCTTTATACTAATTTTCAGCCTTAAGACCAATATTTGTTAGCTATCGTCGGACGACCCAAATGCGAGACAGACGCAGCCAGGGCGGAACCATAGTCTTTCTTCCTTTCAGGAATGGAGGTCCACCCAGGCAGTCGAGAGCAGGGGAAGTGGTAGTGGGTGGAAATTCACAATGGGGAGGGTAAATGTGCCACCGCTCAAGTGGTCCGTGGGCCGACGCCTCGATGTTTTATTGCGGGAACGTGTCCATCGAAGTCATGCAGAGTGGTGCCTTAAGACCTCCCAGGTTATAAAAGGAAATGAAACTCGTAGGGTACATGACTTCGCCCCGATATGTATTCCACGACAACCTGGGAATGTGGAAATAATGGGACGGTCACATACTTGGGGTCTCTCGTGAAAGATGACGTCACTAGAGTGGGCGCCATCACGCTCGACGGATTCGCACGCACGGTCCACTACGTTGCGCGTGACGCACTGCAACGTCGCGATGGGCACGAAGGCCACTTCCTGTGTGCGAGTGTCCAAAACCTCCAAGGTTGCAGGGCGCGTGTACCTTGCTCTTCGGGTACCCCCACGGATAAGAATCGGGAGCTGTTACGTCCGACGACCGCGATGGCTAAGGACGGTCCCAAAACGTGGATACCTCGTATCACGCGCCTAGGAAACATTCTGCGGAGAACATCCGTGCTCGTGCGGATCGTGTGGGCCGTCGCTGGAACCACATTCCAGGAGGAAGACTACGTGGATGCATCTCCACATCCAACAACGACTGGAACGTTTGGACGTAGCGGGCAGCGTCGACGCGGCAGTTTTGCTCGTTCGCGCTGCCACCGAACTCGAAGTGTGCCTCGTCACTCATCGGTAGAACCTCCGAAATTTGGCAGGTTCCCCTGCACCGTGTGGTGCACTCGGTGCGAAACCGCTCACGTGCACACTTGTCGTCGCTTCGTGTCTGCACAACTTGCAGATCGTACGGGTGTGAATGCGATCGCTCGTGGAGGATCCGCTCGACGGTGGTCCTCTCCACTCCGACCGACGCGCCGATCTCCGGGGGTCTGCACTGGACTGCTGCCAGCACTTGGGCCACCGTCACGGGTTTACGGACCCGGGTCACGGACATACGAGGGACGGTGAAAAAGTTTCCGGCCTAAGGGATAAGGTGAAGTCTGAAGAACACGAATGTTATTTCATTTTTCGACATGTTCTCCTGGAACAGCAATGCATTTTTGCCAGCGCGATTCCAACTTTATGAATCCATAATTTAAAAAAATTGTCTTCTTGGTCTTTAAAGCGACTGTCAACGACCATCATGACGTTATCATCACTATTGAATTTATTTCAAAGCAAATTTTCTTTAAAAAGAGGAAAAAGGTAAAACTCGGAGGGAGCCAGATGAAGCGAATAAGGAGATTGGAGAAGCGATGCGTTGGTGGAGAGCAGTGTTTGCAACCCCCGAGAGGCACGAGCTGATGGATCGTCCTGGAAAACAAGCACACCCCGGCCAAGTTTCACTCCATGCTTCTCGATTGCTTCTCTCAGCTTCCAAAGTAGGTTGGCGTAATAATCACACGCGATGGTCGTTCCAGGTAGTCACTTGGCGGAATTTCCTTTGCCTCGCAGAAGACAGATGTCATGACCTTGCCCTCCGAGGTCATGACCTCGAAGTTTCAACGTGTGGTGTATCTGGGTTTTTCCGCCGAAGACTTTGGAGTTTAGTTTCCGGATGAAAGTGGTGAACCCATGTTTTATCTTGGGTTACCACCCAGAAGAGGAAGTCTGCTGAATCTGCCCGGCAGCGCCGAAGAAGCTGCATCGAAACCTGCTGGCGATGCTGCTTCTGTTCCGCGTTCAACATTCTGGGCACCCGTCTTGCAGATCCTTTCTTCATCCGGTGGTTTTTCTTCGATATAGATTTTACGCTACCGGCACGTATCTGCAGGATGGCATCGACGTGCCTAATGGTCATTCGCCGTTCTGCAGTTCTGCATACGCCGTAGCATCGACAAGGTGAAGATTCTCATCAGAGATCGAAGTTGTTGGTCTACCTGACGGTGACTCGTCATCTGTGCTCTGCCCGCCACGTTTCAATGCAGCAACCCTACTTTTCACTGTGCTATAGGAGATAGCATTGTCCCCTAAAACAGTCATTATCTCGGTGCGGATTTCCTTTGCGGTTGAGTTCTTCGAATGCAAGAATTTAACCACTGCACGAAGCTCAATTTTTTCATTTTTTCCAAAAACATAAGAGTGACCGATGTCACCGAGTCACTTTCAAAACCGATGAGAAATGGAAAATACGAGTTGGGTGACCGGACGTGCTAGTTTTTCTCACGAAATTGAAAGTAGAGTCTGGAGCAAAAGTAGTGCCGACTGGTGTAGCGTAGTGCCGACTGGTCGTCTTCCCTCTCGGGCCGGAAACTTTTTGAACGCCCCTCGTACGCACCCGGCGCGTCACGAACGAAGCCGGTCTCCCGCCGTTTAGACCCCCGAGCCTTCTGACGGGGCATCGTGCCGGTCGAGTTCGCGTGGAACGCCCGCTGGGTCATCGGAAGCGATTCGGTCGGGATGAAGAGCTCCATCGCCTTCAGACGCTCCTTCGCCGACCGACGTTCCACGGCCGAACGATCGCCAGGATGGTGCAGGTCGTCGGAGATGGCGCACGTCGGCGACACGGCATCGCCGGCCGTCACGACAGGATGGGCGAACCCGGGAGGTATTTATGGCAATATTTTCCTCTCGCTTCTTTTGTATCGCCACGAAGGCATCGAACCCGTTCGTGAAGCGGAAGGGACGGCCGTCGTCGGGCGACGCCTCGCGAATTCCTCGCATTCACGACCCGACGAGAGGTTGCGGAACCCGATAGGTGTTCCCTCTCGCCTCGTACGTGGTGTTCCCTCTCCATCGGATGGCGTCCCGATGCGTGTTAACGCCGCTCGCATGAATGTCCACGTTCCTCCCTCCTGACTTTAGTCGTTCGCTTCCGTCTCGTTCCGGCGCCAACGTTTGCAAGCTTCCGAAATCGAGGCGGATACTCTACGTGGGGCCGTCACCGATGCCTCTTAAAAAGAAGCGAGGAGCGAGTCGACGAGGGAAACCCGAGGATACCCCTCACCGTTCCGACGACGGCGGAACCATCGCGTCGCTCGTGCCGCACGGTGTGGCGCTAACACGGTTTAACGACTTCAAGTCGCGCATGACCATCGCTTACTCTCCGGGGCCTTTTCTCACCTCGCTCATAAAAAAATTCCGGAATTTATTAATGGATGTAGGAAAAATAGGAAATATGGAATCGATGTGATATACGAGACTTAGCAGCGATTTAATTCATAAGAGTACTCAAAAATACGTTGGAATGAAAAATCCCCTAAAGAGAAAAAAAACACGTCATTTTAACCCTGGAACTTCTAGAACCCGAATGCTCGTATGTTTACCTCTTCGTCCTCGAAGAATCTCTTCGAAGCACTCGGCCCGATCACCTTCGCATGCCTTCACGAAAACACACGGAGCATCGGACTTCGCGTAAGTTTACGGCGATGGTTGCCGTGCAACCATGCACAGATGGTTAAATTTTTTGTACGAGGATCCATCGGACCCAGGACGGTTAACGACGGGGTTAAATCCGAGAGGAAGCGAAGGCTAAAGGTGTCCTGCAGGTCATGCCCTGGTAGAGAAACCCGACGATGCGGGTGGCCGAAATCACGGTGTGCGATCTCTTGCGGAGAGTGACGATTCACCCCGTTCTCGATCGCTTCCGACTTTTTGCGGTTTCCATCATGTGGACGAAAAAATGCTCTCGTCGCTCCATGCGCCATGTATCAAGTCCATGCTCTTGCATGGACTTGATACATGGCGCATGGAGCCCTGTTCCCTATTCCCCATTCCCCCGACCGACACCATCGGTTTTCCCATCGTCGTTCGTCTTCTCGCCTTCCCCCCACATCGGTTCGATCGGAAAATATAAACGAGAAGTGT